CCGCCATCATATGCGGATCTGCTCCAACCTATTTGTTGCCACTTCCTCATCCTCCCACCTGTTATATCCACTTCCATTTACATCTTCGTTGCTCTCTTGATTACTGAGTCAGTAGCAAAACTGTTGTCCTAGCAGTCCGCCAGCATATGCGGATCTACTCCAAACTATTGACTGCCACTTCCTCAAACCTACTTTCTTAGTACTACCGTTATTAGCGTAGTGAATTACGTCAAACCAACACACATAGGTCGGGGTACATGATGTTAAGCGGTTCCCCTTGGTACTGAGTGCATTGGGGTCCGCCAAACTGAACCAAACCCTCAATCCTATTTATCAATCTCCGCAGCTGAGATCCATACTAACCCAAACCTAGCTAGACTGTGACAATTACAATGCTGATGCTGTAAAAGGATAGTGCATGCTGGGACTTTAGAAAATCATTAAAAAAATGTGTTTAATTGTACCAAAAAAAGTCCATGCTCCTTTCCCTTGCAGGGTCCTATGGAGCCACCCTTGTGTGTGCTAGTAAGTTGTGTGTGTGTCTCCACAAACACACAGGCACAGCAAGGCAATGACACTCCCCTTTTTTTACCCCTCCTTCCTCCCTTCTCCAAGCTAGTAGATATACAACTGCTGGAGACTGCTCTGCCCCTTGTGGTCTAGTACTCAACAGGAAGTCCAGGGAAGCCGAGCGGAAAGAGTTGGAGCTGTTTGGAAGTGTTGGGCAAACATTTAAAGAAATACTTTGCTGGGAAGTGTACATTTGTTTGATCTGGATTCATTTTAGAAAATGCGTACAAAGTATATCTAAATGTATTTTTTTTACTTTGGATAGAGTGATTTTTTTTGTCATCCCATTTGGAGAATTCACTTCCTGTTTCTCAGGCACAACAGGAAGAAGAAGGAAATTTCTCCAAACTGAGGGATTTTTTTTGTTAAGTTTTGATTTAAGATACAAGAAAACCTGGTAATGTAGTTTTGAAAGTGTTTTCAAGCTTGTCAGATCTGCAGCTTCCAGTAAAGTGATATTAAAGTCAAAAGATTTTTAAGCTATTTCAAATGCTGTTGAAATCACTTAAATGGATGCTGCTCCTTAAACGTTTTAGAGTAAGCTGGTCATCTGAGCACTGGTCCTGATATCCTGTTTTAGGGTGGCTCCTTTCCCTTGCAGGGTCCTATGGAGACACTCTTGTGTGCTAGTTAGCTGTGTGTGTCTCCACAAACACACAGACACAGCAAGGCAAGACACTTCTCTGCTCTCTTCTCCCCACCCCCCTTCTCCTTCCTCCCTCCTCATTTTTACCTTCTTCAAGCTAGTAGGTGGATATGTGCTGGAGACTGCTATATCCCTTGTGATCTCCTACTTGGCAGACATTTTAGGGAGACTGAGCTGAGAGAGTTGGAGCCAGCTGCTTAAAAACAGTAAGTGCTTAGGAAACTTTTTTAAGAAATACTTTGCTGGGCAATGTATTTTTGATCTGGATTTATTATTAAAACAGTATGAGAGTTTAATATTACTTTAATATATTACCTGGTGATCCCGTGTTCTATCAAAGTTTGTGACTGCTTTAGAATGTGTGACCGGTGATGTGGTCACACATTTTAACCTAATCCCGCCCCGTTTTTTGGCGGGGTAATATGTGACCGGCAAAAGGTAAAGAATTCCAGCTGTTGCAGGGCAGATCGGCATCGCAGATGGTATGTGCAGGGGAACTGATCTGCCCAGGAACAGCTGATCAGTCCTGAAATGTCACTTCTATCCGGCTTTGTGACTGCGATCTCACATTCCACAAAGTCGGATAGAAGTGACATTTCAGGACCGATCAGCTGTTCCAGGGCAGATCGGTTCTGCTGCACATAACATCTGTGATGCCGATTTGCCCTGGAACAGCTGAGAAAGCGTTGGAACTCTTCTCCTTTTGCCGGTCACATATTCCACCGCCGAAAAAGTGGTTGTGATTACATTAAAATGTGTGAACACGTCCCCGTTCACACATTATAACGCAGTCACAAACTTTGATAGAACACCTGCCTTAAAGCGCCTTGTTCAGACATGTCCTATTATGGGGTGAAAGCTGTCTGACTTTTGTTCTCCTGTGATGTCAACCTGTCAAAAGAAACTCTGATGGACATTATTCTGACACATTGTGGAGGCATGGTCTACAGTTTTCACTGTCAGCAGTAATGATGTGCAGTCGATGCTGAAATTAATGCATGCACATAAGAAAGAAAGCAAAGGAGATCAACAGGACTCAAAAATAGATATCTAATGGTAAAACAGCATAAATGAAAAAAAACGGGGCAATTGTTTATGACACACATTGGGAGTGCCTAGTTACTATTACATTTGTGGTGATTTACAACAAATAGATTGTTCCCCTTGTAAGGACATTTTCACTTTGCAGGAGCATTTTTCCTTAGCTTAGTTAATGTGGTGAAAATGAACATTTAAAAAAACAAACAAACAGTATTTTTGCTTTTGATGATGGAAGTTGGCAGAGCTTTTTCTCATTTTCTAAGCTAAGGGAAAATTCCCTTTTAAAGCAAACAGCCTTTTTGCCTTTAGTAAATCAAACCCATTACGACAACTAACAGGGTTATTCATAAAAGGGTGAAGGGTTTGGAGAAGGCAGGAGAAGTGAACAATCTAGGACATCATAGCTGATTTGGAAAAATTCTCCAATTCTCCATTCTCTAACTGAAAAAGACAAGTGCTAGAAACATATTTCTACCACTGCCAAACATGTACAAATCATTCATATGATACAATGGTCGGTCTGCGTCGCGGTCGGTCTGCGTCACGGTCGGTCTGCGTCGCGGGAGCGATAATTTGACATTTTCTTTTACACCCAAAACTTTCACTCCAGACGAAGGAGCTGGTCACCCACATTGGATGACAGGGGAAGTGGGTGGAGTCCTATGCTGGATGACAGGGGAAGTGGGTGGAGTCCTATGCTGGATGACAGGGGAAGTGGGTGGAGTCCTACCTTGGATGACGGAGAGTAGGTGGAGTTCTGCATTGGATGATGGGGAAGTGGGTGGAGTCCCGCATTGGATGATGGGGAAGTGGGTGGAGCCCCTCATTGGATGATGGGATAGTGGGTGGAGTCCCGCATTGGATGATGGAAGTGGGCGGAGTCCCGCATTAAATGACAGGCTGGTGGGTGGAGTCCCACATTGAATGACAGGCTGGTGGGCGGAGTCCCGCATTGGATGATGGAAGTGGGTGGAGTCCCACGTTGAATAAGAGAGAGGTGGGTGGAGTCTGCCTCTGTGTCTTGTTCAGGAGGGAGGAGTATTCCTCACACAGCTCATTTCCCACCGCTGCTGGTCGGCTCCATCTTATCGTAGTTCCGGTATAACGGCCCCCCGGCAGCGGCTGTCCCCGGGTTGGGGGGTTATTTTGGGGTTTTTCATTTAAAATATGGAGAAAGAATTCTCTGAATCACCAGAAAATGTCATTATTACCATCTACCCTTCTATATATGATGGGAGTAGTCATACCCCTGAGGCACAACCCTTCTATATATGATGGGAGTAGTTATACCCCCGAGGCACAATCCTTCTATATATGATGGGAGTAGTCATACCCCCTGAGACGCAACCCTTCTATATATGATGGGAGTAGTTATACCCTGTGAGGTTTTATCTTAGGGTGGATGATGGGGGTATTAGTGCTGAGATGAGGTTGGAATCACTTCACAGACTTCACAGTTACCAGATAATTGATTTATTTGATGGAACGCAGCCGCACAATAATCAGGTTCTCATTGTCACGGAACATTTCTCTTGGCCCTTTCCTTCACTCCAGAACTTTCCATGTACTATGTGGAGGTCAGAGAAGAGGAGGATGAGGATGATGGTATATCATAACGAAGGTGATATTATCTTCTCAGCCCTGACGTGTCTGATTGCTCTGCCCAATGTGGAAATCCCTCAGGGGGGGGTAATACTGATTTATGAAGAATTCTGTATGCTCCGGCCCGCAAAGTATTTACGTGGATTGCGAGAGTCTTGCCTGCTGCTGTCTATGTGCAATATCTTCAGTAAAATAAAGCTCCAAAGTCAAAATATTCGATGAATCTGAAGGTGGAAGAGCCCCGGACAGGAGCACCTAAAATACAAGCAGCCAAGTTCCTGCGCAGGAAATCTGTACGATATGATAATGGGGCAATGGATGCTCTTGAGGGAGAGATCAGAGTGCTGAGTACATGCGGTATATTGGTCTTCCTCGATGGACCGGGCGCAGTTTGGCACATTATATATACATGGTGCACCCTGGAGCTGGGGAGAGGGCCAAGGATCTCTCGCTAGGGTCTGGTATGCTATATACAACTTGTCTCATCTTAAATATTCACTATAAAGTCAAATGTTTTACAGATTTTAACTACATTTCCACCAACATTAAAACATCTTTATAGCCTCAGGAAATACCTACATCTGCTTAAAAATATACAAGTTTGGCTTTTTTCACCATAGAAGCAGCTTTAGAGATGATGATCTGTCTGGGAGGGTTGGTGACGCGCTGTATCCCTTCTCCCCGGAAATTTGGCACTAGTTTGGGGTAGGAAATGGAGGGTTTGGCACACTTCGGCCGCCTAGGAGATGGGGATGGATTTAGGACATTCTCTGTCCATAAATCTCACCATCTGACGGTGAGGAGAGGGGCCCTTGCACCACCCATTTGAGTCACATGATCTGGTGTGGCCCTGCTGTGGGGGGAGGGGCATTGTGATCTGCACTGTAGACACTTTTCTCACAGACCCCTCGGGGTATTTCATGTTCCTCTCACCCTGCTGGCACCTTATTGGGCAAATGTTTTACAGTGCAAAATTTGCCTTTATTGCTATTTTATTAATATTGAACATTTTCACATTTGTAGGGTTAACACATTCCCTTCCGATTGGGACTTTTGTAGCCGACAAAGAGGCAAAGCCAGGCTGCTCCTGGTGTCCTGATGGTTCCAACAGACGTGTCCTATCCACCCCCGAGGCGACCTCTCCTAGTTCCCCCGCACGCACCAACCTCTCCCACCAAATGTCTTGTTAGCCAACCTTCTGTGGGTTGCTTGATCGTACACCTTGCTCATAAGCCACCCTCTGCCCAATCAAGTATTGTGCTGCTTGTGTGGCCCCTGGGGGTCCTGTAATGGTCACTTTCCTGCTTCTTGTTCCAGGGACAAATTCCCCTTTCTTGGAGATCTGTATGCGGGCTCCTGTTAGCTCTTGGTATTCAACCAATGTCTTTCCCCCTTTGCCCAGTATTGCACCTACCAGAGTTTCCGGTACTGCCATCTCCAGAGTCTCCTTGCCAGCGACACTTTCAGCAGCTAGTTTCTCCATGAGGATTCCTCCACCCCCCATGCCCAACGTAGAACCAGCGTCACCTGTGTAAGAAGCTAAGAGACTGACAGCTGCTGGATGGACACCACCTACCAGGGGATTGTACCCTAAACCTGTGCTGTAACCATAGCTGGCTAACGTGTTTAGAGCAGTAGAGATGGCCAGCAGATCGCCGCCAGATATTGCAGCCGAAGCAGTTGGTGTAGCCGGATATGGAGAAATGGCCGCCTCAGCTGTTCCTCCAGCATATGGAGATCCTGTTGGGTTGGAGTTGGCCACAGGCCCCTGGCTGTTGGTGTAGCTGATGTTGAAATAGGAAGTGCCCTGAGGCGGGTCCTCTTTTGCTTTGTGTATGATGCTTCTTACTGCATGCTGAACCTGAGCTGCTTCCCCACTCACTGTCACCACCCGTTCCTGGAGATTTGGACCGGCTGGCTTCTGGGAGAGCTGAACCCACGCTCCAGATTCCTCCATGATACTGCGGACAGTTGCTCCACCTTTCCCAATGATGAGGCCGGCTGTTGTGTTGGGAACAATAAGTTTAGCCTGAAAATTGAGTTGGGAGGAGAGAAAATGAATGAAGATGCGGTGAATGTAAAGTGAGAAAACAGTGTGGTAAGGAATCGGTATTAGATATATAGTGGTGAGAAATTAATACTTGGTACAGTGAGCTAAAGGATTAGTATTGGGGACAGTTTGTAGAGGGATTAGCATTAAATACAGTGTGGTGAAGGGTCAGTGATGGGTACAGTGTGGTGAAGGGTCGGTGTTGGGGACAGTGTGGTGAAGGGTCGGTGTTGGGGACAGTGTGGTGAAGGGTCAGTGTTGGGGATAGTGTGGTGAAGGGTCAGTGTTGGGGACAGTGGGGTGAAGGGTCAGTGTTGGGGACAGTGTGGTGAAGGGTCAGTGTTGGGTACAGCATGGTGATGAATTAGTGTTGTCTGTAGGTCATGTGATGTGTATATATAGATGGTCTGTAGGTCATGTGATGTGTACATATAGATGGTCTGCATGTCATGTGATGTGTACATATAGATGGTCTGTAGGTCATGTGATGTGTATATATAGATGGTCTGTAGGTCATGTGATGTGTACATATAGATGGTCTGCATGTCATGTGATGTGTACATATAGATGGTCTGTAGGTCATGTGATGTGTACATATAGATGGTCTGTAGGTCATGTGATGTGATGACACACCTGCTTGGCTCGTTCAGCACTGACCGTGCTCTGGGTGGGGAGGAGTCCCAGGTCGTTCTTCGGCGCTCCTTGAGGAAGCTCTCTGACTTTTTCTGCTATAAAGTTGTGTGCAGCCAGCAAAGCATCTGCTGTACCCTGTACCAGGCAGACCCGCTCCGTTGTCCCTGTTTACACAGACACAAATATGTTAGTTATCTTCCATCTTATCACTCATGTATGATTTGTGGGTGCGTTGACATTCGGGCTAGAGGTAAAGCTTGGGGATAATTCTGGTATTAGAGTTGGGGTTAGCGGGATAAGGCTAGGATTAGAGAGTTAAGGTCAGAGGGTGAGGTTTAGGGTTTGAGTCTTAGGGTTGGGTCAGAGGATTAGAGTTGGGTCAGAGGGTGAGGGTTAGGATTAGATTTGGGTCAGAGGGTTAGGGTTGGGTCAGAGAGTTAGGGTTGGGTCAGAGGATTAGAGTTGGGCAAGAGGGTTAGGGTTGGGTCAGAGGGTGAGGGTTAGGATTAGATTTGGGTCAGAGGGTTAGGGTTGGGTCAGAGGGGTGAGGGTTGGGTCAGAGGGGTGAGGGTTGGGTCAGAGGGGTTAGGGTTGGGTCAGAGGGTTGGGTCAGAGGGTTAGGGTTGGGTCAGAGGGTTAGGGTTGGGTCAGAGGGGTGAGGGTTGGGTCAGAAGGTTAGAGTTGGGTCAGAGGGTTAGGGTTGGGTCAGAGGGTGAGGGTTAGGATTAGATTTGGGTCAGAGGGTTAGGGTTGGGTCAGAGGGTTAGGGTTGGGTCAGAAGGTTGGGTCAGACTGGGGGGGTTGGGTCAGAAGGTTGGGTCAGATGGGTGAGGGTTGGGTCAGATGGTTAGGGTTGAGACAGAGGCTTAGGGTTGGGTCAGAGGGTTAGGGTTGGGTCAGAGGGTTAGGGTTGGGTCAGAGGGTTAGCGTTGGGTGAGAGGGTTGGGTCAGAGGGTTAGGGTTGGGTCAGAAGGTTGGGTCAGAGGGTTAGGGTTGGATCAGAGGGTTAGGGTTGGATCAGAGGGTTAGAATTGGGTCAGAGGGTGAGGGTTGGGTCAGAAGGTTGGGTCAGAGGGTTAGGGTTGTGTCAGAGGGTTAGGGTTGAGTCAGAGGGTTAGGGTTGGGTCAGAGGGTTAGGGTTGGGTCAGAGGGTTAGGGTTGGGTCAGAAGACTCACTTCTATGTCATCACATGACATGATATCATCCAATGAGAGGGGGGGTGTCACTTCTGGGAGATACTGCACATGTGAAGCAAATGGCGTCCATGGCGCGCATTCACCGAGCAGATCTCCGAGTTGCAGGTACAGAGGGGATGGGGAAGGGGAGGGCTGGGACTTGTAGTTCCCTTACCCTCTCTCACCTCAATACAAATATTCACATTTCATTTAAAGATCTGAAAAAACAAAAACTGCCGATTCTCCTGAAAGGAAACCCAGACGGAAATCTTTGGGCCTTCAGTGATGGAAATGCTCGTTGCCTGGCTGTGAGGTTGCAGGAAACCTTGTGTCTGCAGAAGCCACTAATATACAATGGGGGGCATTTATCAAAACAGGAGCAGAGAGAATCTGGAGCAGTTGCCCCCGGCAACCAATCAGCTTCTCTCTTCAGTTTGCTCGGGTAAGATTTGAAAATGAGACAGAGAAGCTGATTGGCTGCCGTGCAAATCTGCTCCAGTTTTGATAAATTCCCCCAATCTCTATTGTAGTGACATCACTGTGTCGTCATGGCAACCTGAAACATACATGACCAGCAGCAAGCTGTTTCCTTGGCAATGGATTATGTCCTGTGTAAGAGACTACATCGTCTGGTAGTCAGCCATCTCCATGGCAACCTTCTGTAGACTGACAATCCTGATTGGCTGGGGCCGGTTTCCATGGATACCAATTATCCCCTAAGCTTTGGCCTGGCAGGAGTTGTCAGCGTGCCAGGCTCACGCTGTGTGATTGTGGCGCGTTGGGATTCGCGGCACGTTCACCGGGACCCCCAGCGAGGGTGGTATCGCCTGGAAGAGGGACAGAAATAAACATGGAGATGGCTCAGGACAGAACGTTCCAGTGCTGTGTCATCTCTGTCCCTTCCCTCCCTCTGGCTAGCTGTGTGCAATGACCTGAGACCAGAACTCCTAATCTGCACACTGGTCCCACATCAGGGACTTGGAAAGCAATGAAGCCCAAGGATCAGCATGACGGTCAGGGGAGGTAGGACAATCATACTCATTATGTTATTACTATAAAAATGTATCATTTCCTGTCATCATCATCCTCCTCCTTCAGGGTGCTTCACAGAGATGGTCCCACCCACCTGCCTCCCCCAGCCAATGACGTGAGGCCAGTGGCTGACCGCAGGGGCACACAGGAAGGGTATGTGGCACTTTGGTCAGGCCTAGCTCTTCTCTATCCCTGGCCCCCGGGGCCCCCAGCCCTCCGCTCACAGACCCAGGGGCCCTCCAATCCTGGGCACCTTGTCTTGGCCGTCCTTGGAATCTCTTCTCCCTGTAAATAACGTGGAGCCGCCTGGGAGGATCCGTCCTGATCCCTACACCCCGAGGGACTCAGGCTGAGGGGGGCATCTCTAACCTTCCTCGTCCGCCTCGCAGGATCAAGATGGAGGGTAACCTGGTGGCCCCTCCTATCTCCAGAGTACATACTCCATGTTCATCCAGATCTGATCCCTCCCCCAGGGTCTGTCACCTCCCCCAGGGTCTGACACCTCCCCCAGGATCTGTCGCCTCCCCCAGGGTCTGTCACCTCCCCCAGGGTCTGACACCTCCCCCAGGGTCTGACACCTCCCCCAGGATCTGTCGCCTCCCCCAGGGTCTGTCACCTCCCCCAGGGTCTGTCACCTCCCCCAGGATCTGTCACCTCCCCCAGGGTCTGTCGCCTCCCCCAGGGTCTGTCGCCTCCTTCAGGATCTGTCGCCTCCCCCAGGGTCTGTCGCCTCCCCCAGGGTCTGTCGCCTCCCCCAGGGTCTGTCACCTCTGGGCTTAGTGTGAGGCACGAGGTTCCAGCCCCTCTGGACCTCTGTGGGCTCTAACAATGGACCCGGTTTGTGAACTGATGAGAGTTGTAGTTCTTTTCGCTCTCACTCAGAAGGTTGTGTTCCCTGGTTCTGAGATTGCACAGGAACAAAGTGCTGGTGAGTCCCAAAACTCCCTCCCGGGCGCGGGGCCCCGGGGCCCGGCCAGGGGTGACTGATAACACGGGACAGCAAAGCTCCTCACCTGGATAGAAGTCCTTGGACTTGGACAGCTTGATTGTGGCCCCCGTCTCCCGCTGGAGCTGGACAATGGTCTGCCCTCCTTTGCCGATAATGGAGCCGGCGGCATAGCTGGGAATGAGGACCTTCAGGAAGAGTTCAGCCTCATCTGCAGGATAAAGCACATGCTGAGATCAAACTCTGCCAACTTCCTGAGATCATTATACATTGGCTGCTGACTCCGCCCCCTGCACTGGCCAAGCTCCTCCTGTTCTTACCCTCCTCCTCCCCCCGCCACCCTCTAACGCCTAACACTAACCCTCTTCCACACAGAGAGCCAGGCTCCTCCTCTGCAGAGAGACC